GAATGACCCGTGGGCCCAAGAATGTCTGTAATATTATATTGCCCGCAGATACATTACCCTCCTGCCAAGAGCAGTGTGGAGGGACAGGGAACACACCACAGCTGCAGATGGTCTGGAAAACATCCAATGCTCTGCATTTTTTATGTTGCTCATAAACAATGAGGACTTAGGTAGAGGACAATACTGATGGAAAAACCTATTGCATAAACAAGCAAGAATGCCCATTCCTGGTGGTTTTGGATGCAGTAGCTAGGCGGACAGCAGGTACCTCTGAGAACTGGCAAATGCTGGATAATCCCTGTCCTGGAGGCCCAAGCACATTTTTGCGCTGTGAATCCAATACCAGTGTTCATCTGGACTGCATTATTCATCTCCTCCCAGGTACACCAGAACCATTTGCTGGGGCTTAGTTTGATGAAAGACAGAGATGCTAATACAGGTGATCGACTCAACGGGCAGGAACAGATTTCACCTTCCCTTGGCACGGGAAGCACCTTGTATTTTACCTTTATTGTAGCAACTGAGCAACCAACTAATGACTACAGGCAGACAAATATGCTCAGTCAGTAGTGACCTCTCTAAAACTGCCAAAGCTTAAAATGCTTCTTATTTTAATAACACATTTGTATTTAAACTTCAATTTACTTTACACTATAGTGGAGGCTTACCTCCAAGCTAATGAGAGCTACATGTCTGCTGGGTTTATTTGGCCCATAGGATGATTTAGATAATTAAGATTTTCAGATTTCAGGCCATGGTTGACTGTGAGCAAACTCTCTACAGCCCTGTCTATCTCTAACAACCCAACCAGAGCCTGCACAGCTTCCCATGCTGCAAAGAAATAACCCTACTATTTCCAAAAACCAAATGGCAGGAGGTTTAAAAATATGACTCCTTTAATGCACGAATAACTATGGGGCCCTCATGTAGACTGAGTAGATGATTATTGCCTTGCTCCTCCCCAGCAGCCCAAGCCAAATGCCAATCTTATGACAGAAATGGATAGGATCTTCAGTAACGGTGCACCACATGAGTGCTTTGCTTCTCACACAAAAAGGTGACTCAAGGAGCATAGCATTGTCCATTTATCTCATCAATGTTGCAAGAGTCTATCACATCGGCAGGTAATGCCACCCCCATATTCATTTCATCATCTTCAAGCCTAATACAATTCAGCCTTAGACCATACAGGGAAACAGCATGCACCTGGGCAAAGACAAAAGTGCACAAGCTCTTTTGAAGACATTGGACCCCTTTGTGGTGAGCTGTAAAGCAAGTCCTCGTCCGGCACAGGGAAATCTTTCAGTGCATGAGCACATCTGGTATGCCACTAAAGCGCACTGATGTACAGTCGAGTCATTAAACCTCAGAAAATCCAATCAGCCTTTACAACACCAGCTTAAAGGCTGCCTCCATAATTACCAAGGTGAGACCACAAGACAGAGATGCTAACTTGATAGACTCTGATTTATTTTGGTCTTGCTGTCCGTTCATTCAAAGCAGGTTTGTCCCCTGAGCCCAAAGGCTATTCCCTGACAGTTTTGAAAATATGATTGGAAACTTGCTGGGAGGTGGTATTTTTTCTTGGTGTTATGATGAAGTTTTCAAGCACCATATAAATGGTGCATCAACATATACCAAAGCAATTGCATTACAGTGGGAGCATCACAAAATCACCAGCTGTTATCCCTGTAATCAAGTCATTTCTACTGACATCTCTCTACTGGCCACGGGTCTGTTCTCATTTAAAGAAATCAGAAGAAACTCAATGAAGCCAAGAAAATGTCACTATCTGGACATAGTACAGGTAAGTGGTCAGACATACCCTATAACTGCTTAATTAAAAAAAAAATAGGTGGGCAGAACACACTGAAAAAGTGGAGAAAGTTTCTAGAGTGCCAAAAATTTAATAAGAGCCATGACTTACCGGTGCTCCTACGTAGCCTTTAATTCCTGGAGGACCCTGTTTTCCCTCAGATCCCTGGCAAGGAATTGAGATACAGTAAAACATCAAAAACTGTTTCACACAAAAGGACAAGAATAAAATCAGTTATTCAGAGCTGTAGCTTGCACTCCTGAGCTCACAGCGGGCTGTTGAGGCTTCTCAACTGTCTCAGTGCTAACACACAGAGCAGTGTCTGACTTTCCAGCTACTTACCAAAAGTGACACCCCAATGTTTTCCTCTGTCCCCAGTGCTCAAACATCAGCAGGTTTATTCTTCAGCTTTCAGTCTTGCCCTACAAAGGCAAACTGTCCCATGCAAGTTCCTCTACTGGCTATTTCAGAAGCTTTGGCAATGGCAGTTGTTGCCTGCCTGTTGTGCGCAGGGTGATTGAGCTCTGTCTTGACTCCTGAACACGATGTCGGTGCAACAAAGCACAGGCGTACATTGCTGCAGATGCTGCAGCAAAGGCTGCAGCCCAGCATAAATGAACCATAGACTTAAAAGTGTTACATATTTTGAAAAGTAAATGAAAAGAAACAGATCAGAACTATATTCTCCAATGTTTATTTTCAGCATAAGTGAGAGAAATGCAAGAGGATCAGGTACGTTTCAGCAGTTCTTCAGCTGGTTACACACTGACTCTCCCTGGAGAAGGTAAACTGAAATGGAGAGCACTCTTGCTGTGTGCTTTTATGTACCTTACAATGCACGCAAATGGTCTGGATCCTCAGCTGAACAGGATCAGCCCTCAGAGCCACCCTATGGAGGCAGCCTGGGCCTGACAAGGTGGCCATGCGAACTGGTTAGATCTATTATTCCACCTATTTGGCTGATTATTTCATTATTTATCTCACTTTCCTTTTCTTTCTCCTTTCTCATCTTGTTAACTCCTGTACTGAGTGGCTGTAGTGGATAAGGCTTTAAAACAGATCAAGATTTTATTTTTAAACAATTTCTATGTTTCATATTAATAGATGTTTCTCATTAAAAAAAAAATTAAAAATGCGAGATGTGTTTGCAATGAACTGTTAGCAGAACCGAAGCTTTTTTGTCCCAGTGGGAGTGCCCAGGAGGCTGGTCATGTCACACCACTGTTTACACTTGCCTTAGCCCAAATGACAATCTCATTTGGAGCAGTCGTTATGCACAGACCTGGCAGGCTGGCTGGACTGTACTTGGCTGCTGTTTCACCTCTGCTTTAAGCAATGCATTGCCAAAACTGTCCCCTCCCTCTGCCAGAGAGGACTTGACTTGTTAAAACAGATGAAGCCGTGCCCTGAAACTTGTGAACAGGTCATCAGCCCAGCTGTAACGTGGTTGAACCTGTGTATTGAAGCGAACCACATCGCAAACTCGGGGGGGAGATTCACGAACAGGTTAACAAGAGCTGGGCTTAGGCACAAACAAAGGTGGCTCTGGGATCTCTACAACATCAGGCACCTGAGGACCTCTGCAAGGTCAGGAAGCGGTGCAAATCCTCTAGTGGCAGAGGGAGAGCAGCAGGCATGCACTTAAATCTCTGCCTTCAGCCCGCAGAAAAATACTACTATCAAAGTGTAGGCGAAACCCCTACAGAAATAGAGGCCTGCTCCGAGTTGTCCAAATTATCAAAGTCCAACTCAGTACCATTACCTAAAACATGGTTACAACATTCAGCAAAAATTATAGATAGAGAAACTGGGTTTGTCTGGATGAGAAGACTTGCTGATCCCACTCAAGGCCTGTGCTGAGATCATGTCTGGTAAACCAGGGAAGTGTGAGACCTTCAACAGCTGAAGCGAACAAGAAGACGGAAATTTGTCAAAATGAAACTCTTACCTAATACTTTATATTTCAAAGGCTTGATTTTTTTTCCCTCTCCCTCTGTTTTTTCTATCAAGTGCAGATAACTGTCAGTTCAGATGGGAATGCTATAGCTATGTCAGTGCCATAGCAATGACAGCCACAGAAAATCTCTTTAACCTTTTATTAAAGATACAGAAAATAAAGAAGGAAAAGGTTGAATATCTGCTGCAGAATTTTACAGGCTAAAGGGCCTGGTCTTAAAAATTCAAGCTTTGTTTCACTGCTATAATATCATACAGTGAGGGACCTGAGCTATGGCCTTTTTTCTCTGGACCCACTTACTCCATTTAAATTAACGTGCCAGGTCCCACATATGTATGCAGGAGCCTTCTCCACTGACCAGTGGATATTTCTTGCTATCTGAGACCACCGTGGCATCTTCTATAACCAGAAGTTCCAACACTGATTAGCACAAAGCTGACTTTGAGAGCTCTTCTTTGCTTCCACCAGCTCGTAGCCAGCAGGATCATACATCCTTCTTGGTGAGTAATGAAGTTTACCCACCAAGTTTGATGAAAAAGAAAAAAAAAACAAACACCAAAAACCCCACACATTTTTATGATGAAGACACTGAGCTAGGAACAATCTCCCCCGGAGACTTCACTGAGCAGCAAAAGCAGTAAAACCGGAGGTGACATACTGAGGCCATTTCATTCCTGTAACCCATTCATGTACCCTAATGGGCTCATCATCCATTACGGTACCTCTGTGGATTGAAGTTCTATTACCAGAAGTCTGCAGGACCCTTACCTGTGCTACTGGAAGCTTCACACAATTAATGAGGTCTGTAAAAGCTGCGAGGCACCTCTTTAAAAGAAAGTACTGGCAATTCCCACTGAGGCAAAAGACTGGAAATCCCTCAGCCAAGCAGATAAACAGGGGGCTGAATTTCCAGGGGTACACGTACAGCTGCTGAGCGTGCACTGCGCTTGCCTAGTTCAATGCAAATTATGATGGATTGAGCCGGGAAGGACCGCATCCCAACCGACCAGAGAAACTGCAAGGTAGCTCTCCCTGGAGCCTGGGGTAGAGCCCAGAGCAACAGTATTGATGCTGATGATTTTAAATAAAAATAAGTGATCTGGCAAAAAACAATCATTACAACAGTAATTGGAGATGTGACCTTTCTGATTGCTCTACCTCCGTCCATCTCTACATACCCTGTTCCACACCAGCGAGGTGGCTGGGCTTTATGCCGAGGAGTAAAGGAGTGTGGATTCATATTTTAGATTTTAAAGCCCTGTCAACAATCAGGATTGTTTCTTAAAATAGCTCAGGCCAGAATCCAGCTCAAGGACACTGCATATAGCCAGCACATCCGTTGAAGTAAATAAAAATCACTGTGAAAGCACACGATCGTTTTATATTTAGCCACTGTAGCTGAGAGGCTGAGGTTAGCCAAGCTCGCCTCTTCCCTGGGAGCACTTAGCACTGCCTAGTCAGACATCTTTAGGTCCAGCCCCACCAGCACCTATCCTGCCAGTCCATAGTGCTGAACTTCTATTCAGCATTGCCTTGTTACTTGGCTGAACTATATGCGCCTCATGACCCTGGTGGGAAATATGGAGCATTTTCCAGGATCAAGCCCTTCTGGAGGTAGATGGTGATGCCTTGGTTTAGCTTGGTTTGTAAAAGCTTTGCAAAGCAAGAGTGAGGAACTTCATACCACAAGGAGCATCGTATAGCCTACTGGTTTGTAATTCCACTACAGGAATTACAGGATTCTGTAATTTCTCTGCAGGACAGAGAAAAAATATGTATTTATTTATATGATAGGAGAGATGCAGCTGACAGGCATTTGTGGATGATGAATCCAGTTCATTTCATCCACTCCCAAATCCCACTGAAGGGCAAAACAATATCCAGAGTGCCTCCAGCTCAGCCCAGCCCTGCTTTACAGCTGTCTTTTATCCCCTGCTGAA